TGGAAGTAAAAACATGATCAGCATTACGTAAAGAAATTCACAAAAGAGCCAAATAAAATGCTACAGTTCACTCCAATATACAGTAGATATACTGGGATTTTGATCCCGTGATTCAATCAATGGGCCAGAAGGGAATAAGAAAATACCAAGGTTTATATGCAGAAGGTTGAAGTTAACATGATGTATTTATAGGTTTTAAACAGAAATGTAACATATATAACAAAACACTCCTTTAAATATCAAAACAATCTAAACCTAGCCCCACCTCTTTACAACTAACACTAAGGTCACCGGGCTTAGTGTTTCTTTAGTTCAGACCCATAGAATTCTGATCAAGGGCAAAGTTACATTTCTGTAACTACTCACCAGAGAAGTGTGGAGTGGTGGCCTAGTGGTTAGGGCATACAGCTTGGAATCCTGATGTTCGAGCCCTACTCCCATAGACTGCAACTCTGGCTCTCTGAGCAAAACCCTTAACCCCAATTGCTCCCCGGGCGCCCCTTAATGGCAGCCAACTGCTCCCCAAGGGGATGGGTTAAATGCAGAGAATTAATTTCATTGCTCTGTACTTGTGACATTATAATGACAATAAAAAAATTCTGGAGAGATAAAAATAATATGAGTACAATTAGGAAAATTCAGCACAGCTGGGAGAGAATTAAACAAGGGAAATTAAATGGGAAAAAAAAGGAAATACGGATTGTGACAACTTGTGGCTAACAGGCTTCCCTTTAACAGTAATTATCTTTTTGTCAGTGTGCAAAAAAACACAGATGAATGGAGTCCGGAACTAATTGTTTTCCCATCAACAGACTCTCCCAGGTGAGCTCTGGATGAGCTCCAGTTATCATAAGCCTTTTGTTTCCAAGCCACCTCTCTTGTTAATGCTCTCCTTGCCCATCTGTCTTGTTTAAAGAAAAAGTCTGTCAGCAAAGAATAATCAATGGATCATTATCTATACTTAAAACTGATATGTTTGCAGTGATTTAATGATTTAGCGTTAATCAGTAAAAAAATGAAAACAACAATTTTCATCTGGATCAATGAGTCTGGAGCCGGCCATTTTTTCCCAAATATACAAACACCTCACTTCTGACATCTGACGGCAGTGACATCACGGTACGGTAAACCTAGCGCCGTTCTCCCCGCTTTACAAGCAAAATCAATGGGAACTACGAGACACATCTGCAATCAACAATAATTATTTTAGAGGACTTCACCATTCAAGAGAGCAATAGTTTAACTAACAATGCCCACATGCATGGCAGTTGGATGTTGTAATACATCGGGTAAAAATGAGTTATTTCACATTTCCGATTCATGATCCACCATGGGTTCATTGCTAGATTGCCAACTTAAAGAGGAAGGATTTGCCATAAAACTTCTTGCCAGAGGAATAACATGTAATAAGTAGCCAACGTTTCGAAGACGAATGTTTTCAAGATGACTTGCACATTGTGACAAAAACCAGATACAGCATTGGGGCTTGATCAACAGCCGATACCACACCATGACGTCACAAACCAGTAGGTGGCAGTAGTGTTCTTTGACAAACATGGATGCCACCAGTAAATCCAACCCAGTCTCATGGGAAAATATACCCCCACTACGTTGGTCCACACTGCAAAACGTAGTGGAGGTACATTAATGGCCATTTTTTTGTGGTACTGTTACATTTCTTCTGCCTATAAGCTTTCTATTGTTTTACGTCCTAGTCACGTGACTTTCAAGATTCCAGCTGGGAGAAGAAAAAAAATATATATAGATGGCCGACATTCGCTCATTTTTTTGTGGAAAGATTAATGACTTGAGTTTGTTTTTGCATTAAAATGAGTTTTGATTACATTTCTATTGAGAAATGTATAGTTTGTTGCCAGAATATTTACTCAGGGAATGTACATATTCACTTGCTTGTTCGTTTCTTGCAAAGATTTTTCAAGATAATGTGAAACTGTAACATTTTGGTATAAACATGGCTGAGATTTCTCTAACTTTTAGTGGGAAAATCAATCATTTCAATCAGTTTCTGCATTTAAATGGGTTTTGATTACATTTATAGCGAGAAGTGTAGGGTTTATTTACATAATATTTACTTAGTGAACATACATAATCACCCGCTTGCTAGTTTTTGCTACGTTTTTCGGATCTCGTCAGGATTATGTGAAATTGCAACGTTTAGGCTGCTACCCATCGCCTAGCATTTAGCTGCCGCCCCGATTCAGCATTGAATTCTTTGTGATTTAACTCCATCTGACGGATCAAACCCTCGCCACTGCGTGCGTTGCGTCTGAGGTTGATTTTCAGATCAATGCATTACGTCGTGGCATACGGGAGAAACTAATTAAACTAGTTTAAAAAAAGGATCATGGGTTAAGATCGGATGTGTTTTATTTGGAAATCTACCGGATCCTTGGTGCATTTAACTTCCTGTTTGGTGCGATCTCATTGATGGATTTTGACCAGATTTTGACCAAAGAGGAACTAAAGAAAAACCAAAACAATTTAAATACACAACCAGCATATCTGGAATCAATGACAGAGAGCATACATAATCACCCGCTTGCTAGTTTAGCAAAAAACTAGCAAGCGGGTGATTATGTATGTTCACTAAGTAAATATTATGTAAATAAACCCTACACTTCTCGCTATAAATGTAATCAAAACCCATTTAAATGCAGAAACTGATTGAAATTATTGATTTTCCCACTAAAAGTTAGAGAACTCTCAGCCATGTTTATACCAAAACGTTTCAGTTTCACATTATCTTGAAAAATCTTTGCAAGAAACGAACAAGCTAGTGAATATGTACATTCCCTGAGTAAATATTCTGGCAACAAACTATACATTTCTCACTAGAAATGTAATCAAAACTCATTTTAATGCAAAAACAAACTCAAGTTATTAATCCTTCCACAAAAAAATGAGCGAATGTCGGCCATCTATATATATTTTTTTCTTCTCCCAGCTGGAATCTTGAAAGTCACGTGACTAGGACGTAAAACAATAGAAAGCGTATAGGCAGAAGAAACGTAACAGTACCACAAAAAAAATGGCCATTAACGTACCTCCACTACGTTTTGCAGTGTGGACCAACGTAGTGGGGGTACATTTTCCCATGAGACTGGGTTGGTAAATCACAATAAATGAAAATGACTCCTAATTAAAACACTTATCATTTATAGAACAGTATGTAATTTAATCCATATTTAAAGTACTTTCAGAAATTTGAATTCTGAATATGACTGGACTGTTTAGCAGTATAGCTGCTATGTTCTTTTTATTTTTTTATTTGTCACATTCTTTAAACTTTGGAGGACAGGTTAAAGAACACCCCAATGAGATTTCTGATTCCTGATGTTCGTGCATTTCAAAGGTTTAAAAACTGTTATCAAAGAGCTTTACATCCATTTCTAAATGATGTGCAGTTTCACTGTATCACCCCTACCTACCTAAAAAAAATGGATGAATAAATTGCAATGTCACAGATAGCCACATTGTAATCTGGAAACAGATAAGTCCAACACAGCTTTACCACATTTAATATTCCGTATCAATTCTACTTTTTTTTTTTTGTTATATCGAATGCTTCCATTACTAGTATTTACAGTTTGCTGGCTTTGTAAAACTGATAGCTGGAAAAATAATAAATGGGATTCAGCCTCTTCTGATAATATAAACTATGGCTTTCTGTCAAGTGATGTGAATCATTTAATTCAACTCAAGTCAGTTTATTTATATAGCGCCAATTCACAACACACGTCATCTCAAGGCTCTTTACAGTTCACCAGATCATACAGTCAATTTGATTCAAAGTTTTCTATCAAAGGAAAACCAGATGATTGCATCAACTCATTGACTCGAACGCAATCCCTCACACTAAGCATGCTTGTAGCGACAGCGGAGAGGAATAACTCCCTTTTAACAGGAAGAAACCTCCAGCAGAACAAGGCTTAGTGGGAGTGGCCATCTGCCGAGGCCGACTGGGGTTCAAGGAGACAGAAGCAGAGATACAAAAAGCAGCTCTAAAAGGCAAGCCAGCTCCCATGTCAGAGGATGAAGAGAGCACATCCAGCCAGTCACAGTCAGAGAAACAGGACTACACTGGAAAACGGGCCGATCTCCAACATCTAGAAACAAAGGTGTTGATGGAAGCAGCACAGCTGATATTTCTCTCCAGGATGGCATCACAGCCAAACAGGAACAGACAAGGCAAAGCTACTCTGAGAAAAAGCAGAGAGAGCAGAACGTTAGAGATTGAACTAACAGATTCTGCAGATTGGGAGAATAGAGATAGAATGAAGCAGAATGATGAAATGGGGTCCCTATGTCCTCCAGAGTCTAAGCCTATAGCAGCATAACTATAGAGATAGCTCAGGATAACCTGAGCCACCCTAACTATAAGCTTTATCAAAAAGCAAAGTTTTAAGCCTACCCTTAAAAGTAGACAGGGTGTCTGCCTCATGGACTAAAACTGGTAGTCGTTTCCATAGGAGAGGAGCCTGATAACTAAAAGATGCTGATGAAGGTTCTTGGTCATCCAGGTCATAGTCATTCCGTAAAAATTCGAAAAATATCCACTGGACTTGGTTTTCAAGATTTGAAGACGTTTCGCCACCTCTCCAGGAAGCTTTCTCAATTCAAATGTCTGGATCCGCAGTGAGTTTGAGTCTTATATAGACAACGCCTTGTATCGCTTGGAAACATGCAATGGTAACCGATGAATGGGTCGTTTGTACCATCGTTAGCCTGTAATATCTGAACCTGTCTATGATTCTAGGGGTCGGTCGTTAAAGGGGGGATAGCCATTAAGGGGGGGATTGTCTCCTGTAATACCTGAAACCTGTCTATGATTGTTAAGGGTTGGTCGTTAAGGAGGTATTGTTCACCGGCTCGGGCGGGTAGGTCCCTCGTTCCTCTGTGATGGGGTGGGGGGTTTGGTGATATCTGGAAGGGATCATGTCTATGATTGAATTGTATGTTTTTGGAAGCTGGAATCTGAGTCCACCACCTCTGTTTAAAGTTGGTTTTTCTCTCTTAACATAGATGGCTTCCTTCACGCCCCTCTCAAACCACCTATTTTCTTTATCCAGAATATGGACATTCTGGTCCTCAAAAGAATGTCCTTTGTCCATAAGGTGTAGGTGTACTGCGGAGTCTTGTCCAGAGGCGGCCGCTCTTCTGTGTTGGGCCATGCGTCTGTGGAGAGGTTGTTTTGTTTCGCCAATATAAAGATCAGAGCATTCCTCGCTGCACTGAACAGCATATACCACTCCGCTCATATTCGGTCTGGGGGTTTTATCTTTAGGATGCACTAGCCTCTGTTTAAGGGTTTGGTTTGGCTTGAAATGTACTGGGATCTTGTGTTTGGAGAAAATCCTCTTGAGCTTTTCAGACACTCCAGCAACATAAGGGATTGTGATGTTTTTGCGTTTAATTTTCCCATCGCTGTCTTCTGTTGCGTGTCTTTTGGATTTCCTTGCTGATTTGATAAAAGCCCAGTTTGGATATCCACAGTTTCGGAGAGCATCTTTGATGTGTTTCTGTTCTTTTTGCTTCCCATCTGTTTTAGTAGGGACATGTTCTGCCCGGTGTTGTAAGGTTCTGATGACTGAGAGTTTGTGTTCCAGTGGGTGGTGTGAGTCAAAAAGAAGATACTGGTCTGTGTGAGTAGGTTTCCTATACACTTCAATGTTTAGGCTTCCATCTCCTTCCATGCTCACCAGGCAGTCCAGAAAGGGTAGTTTGTTGTCCTTGGCATCCTCTCTGGTGAATTTGATGTTACGGTCAACAGAGTTGATGTGTTTGGTGAAAGCTTCCACTTCCTCTAGTTGGATTTTGACGAAAGTGTCATCCACGTATCTAAACCAGTGGCTTGGTGGTGTTCCATTGAAAGTGTCTAAAGCTCTCTTTTCCATTTCTTCCATGTAAAGATTGGCTACAATTGGTGATACTGGAGATCCCATTGCGCAGCCATGCTTCTGTCTGTAAAAATTACCTCTGAATTTGAAATAGGTTGTGGAAAGACAAAGGCCCAGTAGTGTGCAGATCTGGTCCGGAGTGAAATTAGTCCTGTTGTTTAAATCACTATCTTGTTCAAGACGTGTCCTGACTGTTTCCACTGCCTCTGTTATAGGTATGCATGTGAAAAGTGAAGTAACATCAAACGATACCAAGGTTTCTCCTGGAGCCATCCTTAAATGTTTGGCTTTGTTGGCAAAGTCTTTGGAGTTTTCTATGTGATGTGGTGTGTTCCCCACCAAGGGAGCTAAGATATTAGTAAGCTGTTTAGCAATGTTGTATGTTACTGAGTTAATGCTGCTGACGATGGGCCTGAGTGGTGCCCCTTCTTTGTGAAATTTTGGAAGTCCATATAAGCATGGACAGGTTCAGATATTACAGGCTAACGATGTGTAGTGGGAAAAAAGTATTCGACTATTCATCCTAGTTAAATAAACGGAGATCGATGGATTTCACTCAGTCGGCACATTTATTAAAATCTTTGCAAAGAGAGAACAGTCATCATGGCACAGCATTCTGCTCTGTTCTGATCTGGGCAGGGTTCGTTCCCCCCTAGTTACAACAATCGAAAGCAGTCAGAGTCATAACAAATTACACACACTTTGCTTAACAGTAACATGTTATGAATAAACCTTGAGAAAGAATCTGGATTGTTATGGGAAGAAGCTATGTCTGGTCTACAAACAACATTCTGCAGGGAATGGTGTGGCCTAGACAGAAAAACAGACTAAGTGAAAACTTTTATAGTGAGTAAATATGAATATTAATATATAATGAGAGAAAGATATAAATTTTCCCACAACAGTCCACCCTTTCGATTATAAAAGGATATTATCCTTGTGTAATCGATATCATAAAAAAAGGAAAATTTATGAATATAAAAAACTAAGAAACTAAAATTGTGAGTATATGTGAAGAAAGCTAAAACTGAAAATTATGAATATATGTAAAGAAAGCTAAAATCTAAGACACTACAGTAAAATATAAAAAAAATCATAAGAAGAAGAAAAATAATGATAATTAAAAAATAATGAATCAAAAATCCACAACTGCATTAAGTCGGTGGACAATGTTAAATGATTATAATAGATGGAAAAATTATGGAAAGGATTATGATAGCTAAAATATGTTGCCAATAAATAGAACCCTGGAATCACATCTTAGTTGGCAAAAATATTTACTGTTTTTCCCCATTATGATACTTTTATGGTAAAATATCTATTTGCTGAAAATTTTAATTTTTAGTTCTTATCATTATCAGTTACCCTTTTTGTTTCCCTGGAAAGAGAAAAGTTCAAATCAGTCAAAACAATAGACCCCTTCATGTCTACAAACTGTAAGTCAAATTATTAATATGAGCTTCATTAAAAGTAAAAAAAGATCAATCTCTATGCAAAATGTTAAAATCATAACACAAAAATGTTTCACGCAGATGACGAGTTCAGCTCTTCAGAATCAGGCTCAGTCAAAGCACACATTGAAAAGTTGGAGGATTTAATCTCAGCGCTCCTCTTTCCCAATGGTAGCTGAGACCTGATCATCAGAGTTCATTCTCTAATCCAGAAATCTCTGCCAATACTTTCCATCAGCCATCAGGTGGTCATCTAACACTTGGACTTTCTTTTTATTATCAAGAAAATTAATATCAAACACTTAGACACTAAAATGTTAATCTTTGATTAAAATGCAACACATCACAACACATTTCCCTTCTCATTCATGTTGTATGATTTAAAAATCAAAAAGCCAAAGCTGATGTCAGACATCTTCAGGTGGGCGTCTTCATCTTTCTGTTGATGTTGGTCCCTTATACAGGCGACATTTTGAACGTTGTCTACAGAAGAGCTGGTCCTCAACACATCAGGTGGACTACTGATGTGTTAATTAACCAATCAGAGGGGATTATTCTGCCCCTTTATTCTGATTGTTTCCTGGTTCCTTCCAGATGAGCTCCGATGAGCTCTGATCACTTTTTTTATTGACTCTCAGCCACACCTCCTCCTGCTGAAGGATGGAAGGATGGCTGTGATGGTCCTGCATTAGGGTCTCCAGGCACTTTGGTCCCTCTGTAAAGCCTTCTCTGACTAAGGGGGGAAAAAAAGGTCTTGTAGGTCATTTTAATGTGTCACCTGTCAGTCCCAGTCTGGCCAGAGGTCAGTGGTCTGGTCCGTTCTGTGGTTCAGGAAAGGGTCGACCCGTCATGAGCTCATGGGGAGGAAAACTGGGAGTCAAAGTTACCAACATGCTGAATTAAAGGAGCTGAGGGAAGGAAAGATCAGATGTTATCTTACCCTTTCACAAACAATAGTAGATCAAAATAATTTCATGTAGCTTAAAGAACTTTAGATTAAAATTTGAATTTTAAACTTTGTCACAAATCATTGAATTATTCCATAATTTCAAACTTACCCATAATTTCAAACTTACTTCCTTAGTGTTCAGTACCACTTATCACTTCTGCACCTGCAGAAATCCAAACAAACTTCTCCTCAGCAGAGGACTGTGTGTGTCAGTGGGCTGCAGCAATGTAAACAAGCACAGCCTTCTGCTGCTTCCACCAGACATGATGTGTGTGGAAGAAGAATATAGGCTTTCCATCCGATTTCAAGAACGATGTTTCCAAGGCGAAGCAAAATCAAAGAACCAGAAACAAGAGTTTCATGAGGTGAAGAAACACCAAACCAGGGGTCCAAGAAGCTGAACCATCAACAAACATCAACAAAGCTGGTTTTTCCCAAACGCACATCAGACAGTCAGGCTGAGGTGTTCAAACTTCATCCAGAAGTCTAGCAGTCGTTTCTTTAGGTTGTTTATTTATTCCGCTCTCAATTATCAACCCAAATTCCACATGGACTGTTCCAGATGGAAAAATAAACAGCATCTATATGGATCCTTATTAGTTTAGCTTTGCTGTTTTTCTCTTGTTTTATCTTCTTTCCACCCTTTTCTTCATCAGAACAAATAAAATATGTTCTGTTGAAGAAAAACAACAATTTAAGTCAAGTCAATTTAACCTCCAGATATATCTGAGCTATGGATCCATTGAGAATAGATCATTTTAAAGTCTCCACCATTCATCTTAATGTAGGAATTAAATCCTGTTATTTATATCCTCTATCATTGTAATCATTATTATTAATGTTATCGTTATTATTATTATTAAATAATGTTATTATCATCATTATTTCCAATTGAGTCATTTGAACACCGTATAATTATTAACCAATAATTATGTTAAATAAATTTGCATATTTATTCCAGATCAGCTTAAGATAGATTTACTTCTTAAAAAATTGTAAATAATTTAAAGGCAAATTCAATCAGCCTAATTTATTTTTATACAAGCTATTTGTGCTACACACATATAGATTTATTTACCCTTAAAGTTTAATCTAAATCTTAAAGGACCTGTGTCATTTTAAATAATGACACAGGTCCTTGATTATTTGAAGAAATGCCCAATTATTGTTAAACAAGCATAATCTGTTCATTTGATTTAATTTTTTTTTAAATCTGTCTCATTAAACTTTATTTGTTGTGATATTTGAACCTTATGTCAATTCCCTTTATTACCAATTTAAACAGCTGTGCATTATCTTTAACACATTTAACTCCTGCTTTGTTTTGAAAACAGGTGAGGGGGAAGAATGAGCCACAGAAACTAGAAACTGTCCTTATTTTACAGTTTAACCTTAATTATTCCCTCATTTCTATTTTACCAAGACAAAAAAATAGCTAAACTATCATTTCACAAATGGACAACATACAATAGTTAGAGTGGATCCACAGACACTACAGACAACATATAAGACAAACAGATAAGACAAACAAAACACAAACAAATGGCCATAACATAAATGATTAAACGTAATTGTTGTTGCATGCAAACCTTAATGTGTGTCAGGACCTTTTCTCTCACGGGGGGGGGGGGCCCTTAGCCTGCCCATCTTTACCGAACCTCCTGTAACTGGGTCAACGGTAAAATGGACGCTTTTCTGTCTATTTATACGCAGGTACTTTAACTCTAGTCAATAAACAGCGAATCAGTTACTATTCTGCTGTAAGCCAACCATTTATAACTTTATGTCAGGTGCTATTTCAGTTCTAATTCTGAAAGTTAGGATGTTTTTTTCATTTTTTTATCATCCTTGATTTAAATCCATTAAGCAGGTTTTAGGTTTTATTTATTTTAAAACATACTTGTTTTAAATGTGCCAAAAAATGATTATTAATATTTCACTCTCTCAGGAAAATATGCCACTTTGATTCAAATCTTTCAGGAATTAATTATTTATTTTTGAAAATCTATAATATTAGTTAATAAACTCATAGCTTTTATATATTTTAGTTGCATTTACCCAAACTACATCCCATATATTTGATTAACTGTAAGGTTTATTTATTTTAAACACTTAAGGGATGAAAATTGCTGATTTCATTGTTTATATGTTTTAAATGATATAAGTAAATAATAATATTTTTGGAGGAAAGGAAAATCAATTTCTCTTAGCTTTTCATTTAGAGAAATCTAATTCAGATTAAACTGACACATAACTTTAGATTTTATCCTATTGGATTATATTATTCATCCTTTTTCATCTATAAGTTGCTGTTTTGTTTACATTTTCATAAGTCAGAGCAACCATCACCTTTTCTCTGTCTTAGTCAGAACCTCAGACATTCATGGCACAGGGACAAAGCAACAACCACAAAATCATGAAGAGATGAAGCTAATCTCTCCGAGTGGCTGCTGTGGAAATAGAGAATTTGGTTTGTGACTAAAACCTGTGCGCATTTCACAACTACTGTGTCAGACCATGTTTGGACCATTTTCTCTCTCTGGATTTGCCTAAGTTTTCATCTCCAGGTCCGTCCATAACATTATGGAACATGGTGACAGCAGGAAATGAACAAAACGAGACCCGTCCTGTTTTTAAACAACCACAGGCCTGATAATAAACGTTTTGTTTTCCAGTCCTGAAGCCGACATAGGAAAAGACAGTTGCTGCTGAGTTTTTCTCTTTTAAAAAGATAATTTTTGGTTTAGATACTTAAGGTTGGTTCTAATTTGATCAGAAATTACACTAAAAGAATCATGGTTTAGTGAAAGCCAATCAAGCCGTTCATTATCACCCTCATTAGACATTTTCCCATAGATAAAGTCATGTCAGTCAGAAAGTCTGTCAGCAAGCATTTTCTTCATTGCAAGATGCAGAAAGGAATCTAATAAGAGAAAGTTATCAAACTTTTCTTGAATAGTTGGAAGTCTATGGAAATAGAATATGAAATAAAAGAAAAGTAAAAAAAAAAAATATATAATCGATCACTTTACCCTTTACTGATTTCTGCCAACAGG